TCCTTGGCGTGAGGCCAGTCACGTGATCATCGCCCCGCGGTGATCGTTACCTTCTGACGTGGTCGTCGGTTGGCGTTCAGCCCCGACTCCTTCATCAAGGGTGGAGTTCCTTTTGTTGCTTGTAACACTGTTGCCCACATGCCGGGATGAAACCACCCATATCCTGGGGCGGTACGAAGGCAAATGTCTAAGCATCCACACGTAGGGAAAACCTGGAGTACCTGGAGAACGGGCTGGGTATCGGGTGACTTCTACCTGACAAGACTGGGGTTGAATCGTTGAATCCCGAACGAAGAGCAGACGTACCACGTGTACAACAAGATTTGACCCGACAACTAGACAACTGAGACACTTCCAGATCAGCAGTACTCATTACAGAGCTCTCATTCGCAGAAGGTACTGGACAAGCTCGAAATCGTAGCTATTGCTTTTCCCTTATGTTGTCGCGTGGTACCTGTAGTCGCTGGCGGAGGATAGGAATTTTTGCCCACAATAACCGCCGGGTGGGTCTTTTGGGCATCCTGAGTCAACATATCCATGGCGTCAAGGCTGGAAGTGGGTCCATAGGGCAGCGATGAGCCGCAAGACCATGTGTTCGGGACCCAATTGGGGACCTTTTGGGCAGCGAAGGATTCAACAATGAGACGGAGTGACATGCCAAATGTGAGTCACACGCCATGATAGGAACGGAGCGCATTCTCTAGGCTATAGAGTGGAATGGTTTGCGCGAACGAACTGAAGCTGGATAGTGCGGTGAAATGAAAGCGTTCACAATCCCATCTTTCAATTTCGCTCGGGTTCCGACGAGATGGTGGATTTGTGGTGGGCTCCAGGGCTGCGCTTAGCGAGTGTCCCACGCGTTCCTCCACCCAACCAGCGCTAGCCCAACGGCGAAGACGACATCAGATAGAAGAGCGCGACCGGAGTCTTGATATAAAAGGAGCGAAGCCTAAGAAGCAGTTCAAAAGGCTGGGACAAGGGCTTCTGGGAGTTGACGTGCAGTAGGTCATCGTGCATATGATTGTGCTACCTACGATCTCAGTACCATGCCCAACAACTTGTCGATTGTGGAACCAAATACTCATCGTTTTTAGGCATCGTGGCATCCTGCAGGTTTTCGCGATATGTCTGGTGCAGATTCTCTCCCATATTTGCGATGGTGTTTTCCAAGTTGCAGGTACATGACTGTGTACCGTGGTACAATGGCTGCCGATATCGCATCAATCTGACACAGGCTTCAAGCCAAAGATTTTGATATCTGCACGGTGTCTGCGATGTGCCGAAATGATTCAGCCATGATTCTTTGCCGGTTGCACGAAGAGTCTAATCAGACGTCAGTGGAAGAAGTTTGTATACGGAGGCCCTTTGGAGCAAGTCGGCAACCCGTATTTGTCCGCTACCCCGCGGCGGAACTGAATTGATGTCACAACGAAGGTTAGCTGAGCATTTGACGTGTGCGACGAGCGCTGTTCATAACCTGGTGTTCGGCACTGACTGGGTCGCGCAGAGTGCTGCAACTGAGCCGAAGCGAATGTGTTCTGAGTGGCAATCGTCAAGCATCACGGCATATCCATGGCGCAGACGTGGGTTGAGAGGGGGCCACAGTAGTACAAGAGTCAACGTCATGTGTGGTGGTGTAGGTGCATTGGACGAGCGGTCACCTTTTCAGAGAGGGACCACTGCACCATTTCGTCTTACAGCAATGGCACCAGCGAATGACAAAGGTGAGCAGGATGCACTACATGGGAGTTTTGATGGTGGTGGTGGTGTGTTTTACCACGACTGCGTGGAGCTTGATCTAGCAACGACGAAAATTCAAGACGCTGTACTTTGTGTATAGAGTCCGTGCCATGACGACGGTCGATCACGACATGATGAGAGGAGCGCGGCAGCGGCCACCTCGGATACGATAACGGTCATCGTGCGTGTGACGTTCGCGATCGAGGTGCCGTGGAAGGTGCAGGTTGGGGCATTGGTCGCATTCAGATGCACATCATTTGCTCTGGTTCTGGCCAGACTTGTTGAGAGTATTGCGCTGCTCGATGTGGTGCGTCTCTTCACCGGAAAGTTTGGTGGGGTAGTGTAGACGACTAGGCGAGTAAGCAACGCTTGACGGGCCGCGTGATTAGAGCTGCGTCCGAGGCGATTCGATGGGGTTGTTACACCGATACGCTGTCTTGCGTGTGAGTGCGTTAGTGCCGGGCAGGGCAAGTGCTAACAAGATGTGATTTGCGTGGTTCTGGCAACGTAGCGCCAGTCAGACTCGAGACCGAACAACGAGAGCTCGCAGTGGCGAAAGGACACATGTTATGCTTCGCGTCGTGGAGATTAATGAAGGTAACGATGGTGAAAGTGCTCTGTTGTTCCTGCATGGTAAGCGCGATTGACGTGGCCGAGCCAGGAGGAAACGAGTTAGCTGTTAATAAACGATGCAGTGCTGAGGCTCCATGACGTGAACCGTGAAGAAAGGCAAGGAAAAGTTCGATGGAGCTAGGAAGGTCTGCCTGCCCTACGACCGTTCACCGTGTGATGCTGCAGAGAATCGCGGGCGTTGTGGTAATACACGATAGATAACGCCAAGGCGAGGTGTGATCAGCAGCCGAGGACGCCGTTCGAGTCTAGCAGGCGGGCGACAAGCTTTGGTGACGGCTGCATCGAGCGTCGCGGGCGTTGAAGCCGTGGTTCTGACGAGCGAGGGTGCTGGTCGTGGCTCTTGCGAGGGCGGTGAAGTGGTGCATCGAGGTGCAGTCCGCCCTCGCCTTCAGCCCTCACAGACAGGCGAACGGCTCGCATCAACGAGGGCCGGGCAATCCCGGTTTCACGTCGTTCCAACGGAGACGATGCACGACCACTCAAACCGATGGATGTTGCGCATCTGAGGCAGCCAATGGCCACGCGACTGGCTATTATTACGACCAAGACACCTATGATCAGCATCAGGGTGGCCGGGTGGGCAGGGTGGACAGGGTGAAGCAGTGTGGGTGCATGGCGAAACTGTTGCAGACTCGGCCTCGGAGGGCAGGCCTCCCCTACACGGGCGGCAGAGTGGAGTGAGCAGTCGACATGGCAATTCAACTGAGGGCAGCTGTTGCGGCTGGCAACGAGGGCGTCTGCATGCACACTCAACCAAGAAATGGTGTGGAGGCTGGCTGCGTCACTCGTAGCGGTACTGCGCAGCCTGGTGCAGACATGCCATGACTGAAAGGGCCGTAGAGGGCGGCAGAGACAGCCCCTCCTCCAACCACTAGGTGTTGGAGGTTGACTGGGCAGCGACGGATGCGGTGCGCGCCCAACGATTAGACGCATTGCATGAAAGAGCTAGCCCGCTATAAGGCAGTTTATAGTACCACGCCGTTTTGAATTTTACGGGCGGGGGAAAAGTTTCGTGTGTCGAAGCCCGAATAACGCCTGCATGCCTGCCTGCCAGCCTGCTGCACACGAACTCGCCCGTCATACTCTGCATCTGCCTCGCATATCCTCCTGCTTCCCTCGTCCCCTTTGCTCTGATCTTCTTTTCCCCCCCTTCACCCACACCGTCTTCATGAGACGGTAGCACCCCCAAAGACGCCCGTGCTAATAATGCGCTCTCGACGTCTCGCCTGATTGTCAAGGATCGCCCCGCGACGCTTTTATTATCGATAGAGCCGCTAGATATTTTGCCGACTCCTGCCCTCTGCGCGCCTGTGAAGCCCGCTACTCTCCCACAGAACAAACGCCGCTGCCAACATGGCGAGCCCACAGGAGATGCAGCCTACTGTCGAGGACTGCTTCTCCGATGACAGCGAAGGCGGCTCTATTCCTTTCCAGGGCCGGCGCTCGCCCAATGCCGCTAACGTCTCCACCAAGCGCTCGCACCCATCCGACTTGGATAAAGAAATGCCGCCCGCTCAGGAGAGGGCGCCGACCAACATCGACCTTCGCTCCGACTCAGGGTACAGCAGCTACACCACCGCCACCGTCAGCAGCACTAATTCCGCTCAAAGTGCTCCTCCCCAGCGCAGCCCGCCCCAGGTGCCTGCTGCCCCAGTCCCTCCTCAGCAAGAGGCTCCCAAGATCCGCCGACGCCCTACCGTCTCAGAGTCGACCAAGCCCTCCTCCAAGGCTTCGTCCCGACCCAAGTCAATCTCCCGCACTGCCTCGACCTCGTCCAAACCCCCAGCCATCATCCAGCAACGTGAACGCCGGCCGACCGTTACCCAGGATCCTCGCCCGGACCACAGAGATCGTCGTGATAGCAGAGTCGAACCGGAATGTGCCGACCCCAGGCGCACCAAGTACGACCCCAACGCGCCTGCCCCAGCTCCCCGTCGTCATAACATCCGCCCTGAGATTCACCCATCTCAATCCGCTCGCGACGTGAATCGCCCTTCCCAAGAAGACACCCGCTCAATGCGTTCTGATCCCACCCCCTCCCCGTACTACCCGGACCAGCGCCAGTCCTACTACTCACACGCTGGTGCCGTTATCCAGCCAGCCACGACACGTCCCCGTCGTCCCTCTGTGTCTCGACCCGTCAGCTACAGCGGTGAGCCTGGACCCCAGTACCACTGGACTCAGGGAGCGCCTGGAGGATATGCAGGCCACCCGCAAGATCATGGCCCGCCCCTCTCCCAGTCTGCGCTTTACCGTCAAAGCTATTCAGGCCAGATGGGCCCCCCACCCGGACCATATGGAGCGGCACCTGTATACCACCCTCAGTACGGCTACGGGATGGCCCCGTCTTACGACGGCATGCAAAGGCCAGGCATGACACACCGCAACTCGACCAATATTGCACGCAATGGACCTGCACCACCCCTTGTCATCGACCAAGCTCCGCGTGATCAGTATTCGGCAAGGCGCGGCCAGCCTCAGAGCGCTACACAGCCCAGGTTTCCACCCCAGAAGCAGCTCCAGGGCGAGGCCTACGAGAGCTACAGCGAATCTGAGAGTGCATCGTCTGACGAAGACGACGACTATGAAGCCGAGCCCCATCCCGACGATCGCTATGCCCAGCGTGCGCTCATGCCGCCTCCTCCCCAAAAGCTTGAGCGGACCAAGTCCAAAGCGAAGCCCAAGAGCAAGAGCAAGAAACTGCAGCGTCCATCCATCTCCCACGCCTACACCACCTCGGAGGTCGAGCAAGTTCGCGCTGACCGCCGCAAGTCCCAGCCTGTCGTTGTCAACCACGACCACCCTACCAGCCGTCACCGTACAACCAAGAGCACAAACGAACCGTCTCGCCGACAGTCAGTCAGCCGACCTCCTCCTCCACCGCGTGAAATTCAAACCGAATATCCCGCCAGAGGTGGTCAGGTCTATGTGCACGACAGCACTAAGGCTGAGCGGCGTCGATCAGCTCATTACGGGAAGTCTTATAACGACAGACATGCTGAGGCCAGGGAATATGAACGCCTCGAAGCTGAAGCCAACGCTAAAGCTGATGCTAGGGCTAGACGCGAGGCTGATAGACGCGAGGCCGAGAAAGCCGAGGCGCGATACCAGGCTGAGCAGGAGCGCAAACGTGAAAAACGTAATTCAAAGGTCTATTACCAACCTCCCGCCGCGTTCGACAGTAGCGACGAGTATGAGTCCGAAGTCGAGGCTCCCATCCCCGAAGCTCCAGCTCCTCCTCGCCGCCGCCGTCCTACTGATGCGGAAGGCCGCAAGGTCAAAGAGCGTGCTCCACCGAAGGCCAGGCGAGATGAGATGAAAGCGTTGGAATACATCAACCATCAACGCGGTACTGATGCTCCGTTGATCGACCACATCCACAGTGCCGCAAAGAGAGCTTCTAGGGTACCGTCAATTCCCTCTCATTCTGGCTCCTCTGGAAGTGACAGGCACACGGCCGTCACCAGCAACGGCAACAACGAGATTCGCCTCAGAGTAGACGCGAATGCCCCACTCAGCCTGCAGTTCAACGGCGACATGGAGGGTCGCACTATGCGACTCATCCCAGGCGAGGACGGCATGGCAGAACTCGTCATTAGCGGAAATCCTGACGGTGGCAGCGAGAAAGGCAGCAATGCAGGTGACAGGAAGGCATTGGTCACGCGGAGACAAGCAGAGGAGATGAACGAAGGCAGTATACGCAGCCACCGTAGTAGACGCGAAAGCCGAGTAGTACGAGATTCTCAAGACGATAGGATTGAGGTGCAGCGACCACTGCGTCGCCGCGCCAATTCCCATTACGTTAACTGAGAATCTTCGAACCTCTGGCATTCGCCCACACCACAAAGATGCGTAGACCGACTTCGACCTTTCCTCCACACGTTACACGCCTGTTCCGAACCTTATCCTTGTCTGACCGGCAATTTTCATTCGATCTTATTTCCTTCGTTGGGTGGATGATTTTCAGACCAAAAGCTTTTCACGAGCGTGGACAGCCTTCTGCGGCAGACCTGCTCAACAAAAAAGTTCGGATCGGTTTCTTCATCGCGCTTTCGATTTTGGTACGGTTACCCACTCGCGCTGCATGTTTGTATGTTTGCTGTGTTCCTTGCGACAGTGCAGGTTACATTGTTATTGTTTGCTAGACTGGAACGCTCACGCACACCAACATATAATGCGTAAGGGCGGTCGCGCCATCTGGACCTTTGGATCGATCACAGATTGTACGGTTATCTTCTTCCTACCTTTCGTCGCGCCTTTTTTGAGCGTTCCCCACACCACCCCCCTTCCTTTTTCTTTCCCTGCACTATACCAGCTCCTCACGGAGGCTTTTCGGACCTTTTTGTTTGGCGGATGTAATACCCTTTTTTCTCTATCACTTGTTGTGGCTGGATCTACGTGGCAGCAGAAATGTGTGGGATTTCTTTTTTTCGCTTGTCGCAAAAAGTAAGCAAAGGTCGATGTGTTGGCAACGGCTACGACGCTTATGATGATGGTTGTATGGATCATGAACTACGCAGCGCTTTGAATGTTTTCCATTTCTTTCTTTACATAGCTGAGTGGGATTGATGGATAGAACTGATCTAGAGGATACTGCAGCTAGCCTGTAAGCATCACTTGGGATTACAATCACATCTCTTCCACCCTCTAGTAATCAGTGTACCCTGTGTTGGTTCACCGCAAATGTGATGCGTAATGATGCCACTGACCTCAGCTTGCGTATCTGCTTTTTCATACCGCATATGCAACCAGCCCACGCTCACCCCATCCCAATTCGGCCCACAATGCTCCGACATGTCCCACACGTTGTTCTTTTTCCCAGTGTTCCAGACCATTGTTTCGGTACTGTAAGAAACGGGGAAGTGCCGGTACTAGACGTATTGGTGGTGTCTGTTTGGACGGAGATTTCCGGCATTACTAGTCATATTTACATAGGTATGATATACCCGCCTCACTTGCCTTGCTTGTGTTGGGCGAGTGAATGCATGGTGGGTTGCCTACGTGTCGAGATTTGAAATGAGATGTACATGGCCAGCTTAGTAGGAAAGTAAAAAGTGAAGCAACCATTGAATTTATCCGATGACATGTCAGTGACATATGCCTGACGGTCTTCTCTCTTCAAAACCCGGGGTACCATCACTACGTTGAGTGGCTCTGCTGTTCCAACATCGATTCTGCTTCTTGCTCTTGAGCGGAATATTGCGGAGAAAGCGGCCTCCGCTCACCTTCCAGAAGTGAGCTGTTCGTATCAGCCACTCCTCTGCTTCCGACCGATGACTCTTCGTCACCAACTTCATCCGGCCTAGCTGCCTCAGGCCCATCAACCCATTCGATACCCTCCGCATCTACGAGCTCAACACCCCATCTGACATCTCCCTTCCGATCCTTGAACCAACCTAATCTCGTCATTTTGTCACTGTTGGCGAAACCTTCAACGCCCTGCTCTTCGATTAGACTAATTAGACCATCGCTCCCAGCAACCATGGTAAGTACGTCTGCCAAGCACTCTATAGGGTGCTGCAGAGATGAGCTTGGATACACGATCTGCAAGCTCACGATGAGAACAATCAGGATGATTATGAGCAAAATGAGAATGGTCAGAGAGATCCAGGTAGCAACCTCATTCATGACCAGGACTTCGAAACGTTCCGTGAACGTTGCGTTAATAACACCATCTTGCCAGTCAAGGGCATTCTTATAAACCGCTCTCCCAGAATCATCAGCTGAACGGTAACCACCAAGTTGCGATGATCCAGAGTGAGCAAAGTGCTTGAAGAAGGTCTGCAAGGTCTTTTCGGAGTGCCAGAATAGTGTGGTTGTGTTTAGCAGTGCATCTGAGTTCTTGTTGGTAAGGTGCCAGTTTGCGTAGGACATGAAGTCGACATTGAGACCGCGGTCGCGGTCGCGGATGTTGAAGCGCTCGCTTTCTGTTTCCTCAATGCTCTTGTTGTATGAGAGCCAAGAGTGTGCCCTTCTTGGAGCGATGACATACGGAGCTGTGAGAAGCTGGGTCATGAACAAATGACCGTAACTGGTAAAGGAAATGGTCAGCTTTCCATGCATAACTCATGAGCGCGATGTGGTAAACCAAAAGCTAAAGTGCTCACCTAACATTTCCATCAGCATCGTTTCGTGTTGGTTCAGGATACACAATATCCCAGGCGTACTCCCATGCATTCTGATCAGGCTGAGTATCAGATAACAAGACGAAGTCCAGGACGTTTCCGGAGCTCCTGGCTACGATAACGCTAGCATTCGCGACCTCGATGATCGGCGCACAGTTCATTATAGACATCGTAGGTTCCTCTGTGAAGTAGAGAAGCTCCTCACTTGCATTTCCAAAAGTGTCGCCATTATTCTGGTAAGTTGTGTTGAGTTCGGCTCCAGAGATTTCTGCCGTCGCTCCCGGTCCAACAATCCATTTTATGGTAAAATTACGATACCAAGAACCATGGACAACTACGTTCTCAGGTCCGCTACTGGGACGTGAGAAAGATTCACAGCGAGTTTCAGTCGTGTTTTCAGTCACAGTTGTAGTGCAATTCTGAGACAAATCAGCAGGGTCTTCTGGTTCAAGCATTGAGCTGTTGCTAGTCCAGTATGCAACAACAGCTTGCCCACCCGGATCTGTGCCATTCGCACAGCATGACAATCGTCTTGGAATTGAAAAGACAGATGTATTGTACAACTCGCCGTTGAAAAGGGTAGTCGGTAGAGCAAACCCTGGTAAAGTCTCGTTCTTCCGGTCTGGGTAAACGTCTGCGGCTCGGTTGAGCCAGCTGGAGTTTGGCACGACGATCGGAGAACATTCCAACCGACTTCGAAGTGCAGATGTAATAGAAGAGATGTTGGCGGGTGAACTCAGGGGATCTGAATTTGAATGGTTCTCATCTTCAGAGGTCGCCTTCGAAGACATTGTGACGTTTGGTAACGGATCTATATCGAGGGGAGTGAAAACCCATTCATCTTTCGTGCATGGTAGTTGTGGTGGGTCGAGAATGATCTCGTCTAGCGCATTATATAACCACTGAATCTTTGACGCTTCCAACAAGGATTCAGTTATCTCGAAATGACGTTCACGTGTGCCATCGTCGCTTTGATAAAAGTTTAAAGGTTCTTGCCGTAGCGAAAACGGTGCTGTGATGGTGTTATCTGCATCTATTATTGGCTGCTCTTGTGTGACTGCCTGCCTCTCAAAGACAGCAGCCATAGATATAATGACTGTTCAATCAGCTACATGTCTTTATTGGAGCAAGAAATTACTTACGAATTTGTGACAGAGTTGTTCCGGCAGCAACAAGACATAGGATCCAATGTTTGCGTAGCGCTGCTTTCACAGCAGCCCACACCCAGTACGAAGATTGGTACGTCAAAGATGCTCCCCGTTTGGGAGCCACTGGGTTTCGCGACATAGAGAGATATGGCTGCAAACCCCGCATAGGCTTGTCAACGCCATCCCAGCTCAGACCAATTCCCACTGCGATCAGTGTAGCTATAAGGGAGTGAGGCGAGAAAGTTGTGTTGAAAAGGCCCACATCGACTTCGTAGGTGAATGCAGTACGGGAGAGCTTTTTCTCTCGTGCATATCCGCGAAGAATCAAAATGGCTACTGTAGTAGCAAAGAGATAAGCTAACAATGCGAAGAGCCACCTTTTGTGGAGCATTGAGGGCCTCCAGTCGTTTCCAATGCTGGCTTTAGATTTTGGAGAGCCTGGGGACAGTTCCTTCTTCCTAGCAAGTAAGTCTGACCCTTCAGCTTTGACTGCCTCACATTTCGATGTACCCTCCGAAAGAATGCTTCCTCGCAAATTGTAAGTTCGTGATTCAATCGTCTCTTGTATGTGTGGTCGGCTATGTCCAGCTAGTGTTTGTAATGTAGCCATAGGAGGTAAATCGATTTTGAGGAGTGAAGCTGTCCCAATAATAGCCGCAGGATCCGATCTGAGGCCTAGCGGTCGTCGTCTGACCGATACGCTAAATATCATGCTTGTTAGATAGCATGCCAAGAGCAGGAAGAGCACGGATAGCGTTATCCCAATCTCAGTAATAACCAAAATCCTTCCCCTCACGTGTGTAACACTACCAGGTGCACTCTCTAGCTCTAGGACGTCTGATTCTGTGATAGACGATAGCAAGAGCTCCTTCGCGAAACGCGTTCGAAGCATGCTAGCTTCCATCTCTAGTGTGTCACTCTCCAGCATGCTGGAAACGTTCTGGCCGAACTTGTCTACAAGAAGTGTGGATATCCCCTCAAAATCGCCATGGACAGTAAGCGGTATGGTAATGTACTTGGCCCAATTGCTGTTGTGAAAGGAAATATCGTCCAATAAGGCAAAATCAATAGCTTTTTTCGGTACGGACTGGCTACGTCGCTCGAGCTCAGAAACGTCAAAGGAGATGGACGTTCCGGCTCCGCCAGTCGATACGGTAACTGGCATGGCAGCTGCGTTGTATTGCGGAGTGCATACAGCAGATCGTACCGTGAGATTTTCCCATGAGGCTAGTTCACCTTCGGTATAGTCGATCCATGGCGGCGATACAAGAAGCAGATCACGCCCCACACATTGCTCAGACAAGCTATGTATGAAAGTGCGAGACCATTGTTCGAGGACCATGTTCCCACTAGCGAGAATTTCCGGCGTCTGGCCGTACTCATCAACAAGAGTTTGCCACGACACGTAGTCAGAGGACATATTTGTCCAGAGTAGGCCACCATCCGTTGAAAAGGTATCGCTCTGAAAGAACTCACCCGTCATCACCAATAGCCCATCCCAGACATCGATGGGTCCTTGAATCCGAACCTCACAACCGTCCTGCGATCGAATCTGCAATCCTTTGGACTTGACGGTACAAACATCGTTCGGGCACGCATCGTTTGACTGTGAGACGTTCGCGGCTGTGTAACTGATATCTAGAATGCTCTTATCAGATAGAACCATTGGTGTACAATGATAGTCTAAATGGAACACCTCAGTCTCTGCTTGCCAGATACCGTTCTCGAGTGATACGCGATCGATGCCGCTGTTAGATGCGCCGAAGGGCACAATGAGATATGAGTCGAACATCCACATCGATGTGGAGACGTTGAAAAGATATCCACTGATAGTGCGGGAGTAAGTATCTCTTCGGGGTACAAGTTGAATAGGTAATAACTCTTTCCCCGTTGTCTGACCAGCTGCGTATCGTTGTAGTTGCACACTCTCCTTTGTCAAAACATCCTTTGCAACTAACAGGGACGACGAGAAGGCTGAGATGCCGAGTATGCTGACGCCAGCTGCAAGCGAAGATAAGGTTAGGGCCCATCCTCTGTATCCGCCACTCCGCTTTCGAGAAAAACCTATGAAGATGCTTTTCCACCACACCCTGGGCGAGTAGAATAGGGTGAACTTTGCTTTGACGGTCTCCGGGCTCGCCATGCGCGCGTAAGCTTCTGTTCTTTTTACGTCCTCGGCAATCTGGACAATAGCCTGTGTGAAGAAGACTGCAACGATGGTGGGCGTGTATCTCCACCCAAAGAACAGTCCCGTGGACCCAACTTCATCTCCAAGTCCATGATTCTTATAGGACTGCCAGCAAAGTGTTGCCAAGACGATAGACAGTACGAGTGACACTGCACCTAGGGCGATCAGGTAAGGGCGCCGCAGGGTGTAGGGTAGCCATTCGGTAGATTTCTGTAGATTTTGGTCCTGGTAATCTGCTATTAGATCATCAGCCGATGTCTAGCTTAGTAGATAGAAGTGTTTCGCACAAGGTTCGCGCTTTTGGGTGTTGTCCGGAGTTCTTATGCACTGCTGATCCAGCGAGTCGCATTCATCTACTGCATTCAGTGGAGTGACTGGTAGACCTGCGCAATCATAGCTGGTGTCCAAGAGTGTTTCTTGCTCGTGTATAGCATGAGGAGGGGTGTCGATTCGCGATACGGGCTCATACTGCCCCAGTATTCGTGACTCAGGCCTGGACACGCTGCCAACGGTGCTGCTTTGCACACTTTGCTCATGTCGCGTGTCATCGTCAAAGTATTCGCTATCAGGAAGCGATATCTACGAATAACGTTCATGCGGCTCTGGTGACGAATTAGTATTTGGTCGCGACATGTTGTCCGCACAATTAATCGCAGGACGCGGCTCCCAGGCAACTCTTGAGGTGGTCTGGCTAGATCTTACCGGTGGTAGATGAATGCTGAAATAGACAGAACAGGAGGCTCACCGGTTTCAGGCAAGCAGCTCTAGTGTTGTAAGGCTGGGCACCATACTGGTTGCTGGCCACGCAACGATTACGGTCAGCATGCACAGCCTGGTTACGCCCGACAGTCCCTCATAGAAATATAACGTCCACTAGCTAACATAAGCCCAACTGATGTTATCACAAGGGCCTGGCACTGGGTACAAAAATCCGGTGACAATGCAGCTTTCGTTGATGTATGATGACATCTAGGCCGCAATGTACAAATCCCGAAGTCGGTGTCAACGCTAGTGCCCAAACCGGAAGGCGCTTCGCGTGGGGACAGGTGGTCGACCAACGATTGTGAGATACGACCGTAACACGAAAAGTCCTTGAAAGGGAGCAACGAGATGTTACATAGAAGCAGGTGATAAATGCATCCGACACGTACTTCAACCTCACGAAAAAGAATCACAAAAAAAAGTCAAGTATTTCTTATAGTACTGTGGCCACTATATGTGCTTTGCGAGAGCAAGACCATGGTTGTTGGCGCTCCCACATCGATCACAGTATGCGCAAACTGTGTGGTTGTAGAAGAAGGACCAAACCACGAGAGAAATAAAGTTCCTCTTACAGGAAACTGGACTACTTAGGTTCAGTATTGATACATGAGCATCAATAACTGAATGACCTCTAGTATGACGCCAACCTCATACTTCTGGGCCGCCGATGGGCTGGCTCATCAATCACTGTAGACTGAATCCTCTAAAAGACCAAATTAATCTTGACAAACACCCAAACACCTTACATGGACAATGTTATGCCAGGATGAGTGTACATAGCGAACGTCTCAAGACTGCCATACACAAGACGGCTTTAGGTGAGCTGGAACACCTCGTCCTGCCAGCCATACGTCCTTGCGAGGTGCCGACTGAAGCGCCGAACCCATACGGAAGGTAGTAGTACGCTGTTCATCAGCATCGTTGTCCTGATCATCGTTGTCATGCAGAGCTGCGATATCGTGAGAACCAGCTTTCTTGGTACCACTCAAGTTGATTCTATTGGATTTACCAGTGATCTGCTTCGTAGGGTCATGGAGGTCAGTGGGGATAGTGACGTAAATGAAATCGACTGGAGTATAGCATTCAGAAGCCTTATCAAGCTCGGCCCAAAGTGGTTCACGCTGTAGTGTACGTCCTTGATGATACCGCAGACGATATCGTGGGGTGTAGTACCAGTGCAGTCTCTTAAGCGGCCATCTACGGCATACCAGGATGCACCTGAAGCGGCTTCTACGTTTCTGAGAATTTCGAGATTTTTCGGGCTTCGATGCTTGTTGACTGGACAGCGAAACTTCGCGTCTGGTTTCCCCAGATCAGTGAGGTTGGTGCTCTCGAGAGCTGTGTTAGCAGTCGAGTTACATTGCGAGAGATTGATAGCATAGCTTGTGATCAGCTCTGCCTGTCGGTGCTTGACTTAGTACTGGACTCGTTTTGCCTAGGGTAGGAAGAAGCTGAGTTAGCGAAGACTTTCCGACACTATGGACGATTTCGAAAGAAGTGAGGCCGCGAATGGGAAACTTAAGATGCTTGCTCGTTCGTTGGTCTGTAGTAGATTGTCAGGTGTCTCCACCAATGTGTGTGTCTTTATCGTCTACCTGACAGGTAGTTCCTAGAGATATCTGAATAGAGTGATGACATGCTCCAGTTCTTTATCCCGCTTGCGATCACGCTTACCATTAAACTTGATGCCGGCCACATCGTCCTCGACACTGCGATCGCACTCTTGAGTGAAGCAGGCACAGATGCCTAGCGATGAAGACCGGACTGGCTTTGGCTCTTGCATGATATCCAACTGGAAGAATTTAGGAAGGATCATGTCTCAACAAGCGACTCGAAGAAGTTCATCGGGAGCACTTCTTTAGTGCCCAACTTACCGAATCTAGATTGGTCTTATACAGCAAAGAGAGCCTATTTAGCTCGGAGATGCTCGGCACAGTTTGTTCTTCCGTGTCCCACTCTAATATCTGACCATACTTTTCACTGACGAGGCCCATAGCGTGTTCCGTATGCTTGATGATCGCTGGTCGCAGGTGTATCAAGGGCGCCAACTCGTAGTCGAGAAAAGCTAATTTACTTGTTGAATGTTGAACACGAGCATTCAGAAAAATGAGTAGTAGATTTGGACGTGGTTAGATCTTTGAGATTGAAATGGGGAATAGCGTATTGCGCAAGGCCATGAGAGTACCTCTGATGCAGACAAGCATTGAGAATGGACTGGTCGACATCCGGACGATGGCTAATAGTAAGCGTTGGCTAAGCTGAGTCGTCTTCAGGGCAGCCGAAGTAATGGTGTACGTGCTCGAAGTAGTCAAAGATGCCTGCTCGTGTGAACGTAAGGCCTCCGAATCTTGTTCTTCTAAGCAATGCCTGGTGCAATGACTCGGCTACTTGGGCACGGGTAGTGATTTGAGTGATTCTAGCCATTGCCACTGCTGATCGACCGATTCCATGCATGTGTCGGTTGGCGATAACAACACAATGTTTGGGACAATGAGGGGCAGAAGGTTAGGGGTGTTGAGGAAACATTGCGTAACTGTATGCACCACCAAGGGAGAATGTCTGTAGGCTGCAGTGGTGGGATTTCATGATGGATCGCTGGTGAGAGGAAATTCTCGCAGCCTGCGACAGCAAACAGGCGTCAGGGGAGCGCCCTCATGCCGCTGCAGACAACGTCACGAAGTCCATCACTATACAAAAATGTATGGGCTTGTATCAGCAACGGAGAAAATATTGCTAAGCCAATCGCGCAAAGCAACATATGCTTACCTGATGTCTTCTGTCGAGACAAAAGAATGACAGCCGTTCACTTTCAGTGTTTTGCAATTGATGTCTCAGTGCGTCTAGGAGGTCACACATGGTGGTAGTAGTAGTTGTCGCTTTTTACAGTTGCCATAACCCACACGAAGCAGGCACGCCCAGAGACGCGAAGCTCTCCCTCTTTCTCCTCAAAGCCTTACTGCAACCTTCCCCGCTTATACTCAATTTTTCTTCGCTACGTCGCCAAGTTGCGGTGAAAGCCTGTCAAGAGTCGGTCAGATAACGCGCAGATTGTCGTCGGAAGGCCGCAGACGATCGGAAAGCGACACCAGCGCCTAGAAATCACCGTCTCGCTAACGGCACAACCCGGATTCCGATGCGACACGAATTTACGAAGGCGGACCACCGCGCCACATCATACAACTTACGCCCCGCGGTAGAGGTGAGGAACGTTACACGTTATGGTTGGGGGGATGTTTGTTCCGACAGCAACCCTAACGCAAGGGCGGGGATCAGGCTATACGCCAGGCCGGGGAAAGCGGGTTGCGTGGATAAGGCTTGGGAGAAAGGCGTCGGAGTTTACTAGGTAGAAGGCTACGTCGCCTTACCAAAGATGAAACGACGTTGAGGTTACGTTTAGCTCGCGTCTAACGTGCGACCCCATAGCTTCCCATTCGACGTCTCGATGAGATGATGTGATGACAGGTGAGCTTGGCTCAGGCTATCGCTTAACAAAAGTAACCAGAGGAAGGTTTGCGCCACGAGTAGTCGACCGGTAACAGAATTCGTTCGCTATCTTCAAGGACAACATGGAATTATCGTTCGGATGGCGCGGAGGTGAAGAATTTTGCTGCCTGCGTCGCGCATCGAGATCTGATCGCGACCGGCATAATGCTGTAACAAGTGTGTTTGCGGCGCCGAACGCTTCGATCTGCGCTTGCTCGACGATGGCGAGAACAACTTGGATCAGCCATGCCAGAGCGGCCAAAACGCAGGACGGAAGGAGGTCTGAGATGTCACTCTTCTGCCGTAATTTCAACCGGTAGAAAAGGGGCGGAACGATGACACCAACGTCAGTAATGCCTTGGCCGTGACACAGGTCGGCTCGAGCGCCCTTCCAGCAGTGTTCTCGAAGCCTTATTGCAGGAAGTCTCATTCCAGCCTGGGCAAACGTCGCAGGAATTATTCCCGTGTCGCAACCCAACGCGGGTTGCCTATCCGGGTTTGTCCGCACTGCAAGGTGTATGAGTCGATGACAGGCAGTGTAAAAAGCCGTTGCAAAAGTGATGCGGCGGTACCTGGATGGGCATCAAGGGAGTAGCACGAATGCTGATGATCAAGGTGGAGCCAACTTCTTAGGCAAAGTTCCAGACGCCTCGTCTTCCTTTTTTGAGTGGGCAAATCCCAGCCCGCTGGTATCCGGGGAATGCAGCCCGGAGCTCCACTTACCCCATCTTGCTCTGCCGCAAGCCTCGCGTGGGATATGCATACCTATGCACATCGGAGAAGCGGTCAGAGAATTGACTTGGTCGGTCCGGCTTCGATGATGCCTTGCTTGCGACAGCCACCCAAAGGACACTGTGGTGTCTTGCTCGCCCACGTCATCCGCTTGTCGGCTTCTACCCGCGGACCGCCGCGGTGTACTGTACTGTATTGGTTTGCTTCTTCGGGCCGTCTGCGATAGGTATCATCCTTTCTCACGAGCAGGCTTCTGGTAGAGAGGATGCGTGGGACGCTGCGGAAGGGCCTGACAGGCTTGTGTGCCTTGTTTGTCGCATGCATCCTCGCTTCAAGAAAACCATCTCAGACACGTCAATGATGACAGGACGCCCCAGAACAGCCTTGATTCTGCGACCCTGGAACAGGATCAGGGCGTGGGGTGGACTTTGCACCTTCCAGGTGCAACGATGGTCGCGCAACAAGGAGTTGCAACCGTCCGCTTCCCCGTGTGGTCGCGCACATTTGATTGCTGATTATACTTTTGCTTTTAGCTCAAAACGTATGGCCCTTCCGAGATTCCGTTACAACCCTGGTTAATGATGCGAGTCAGGGTTATCTCTTCGGCGGTGAATAGCGATCGTATCGGTACTCTGCACTTGTACTGTGGTATAAGAGAAGCGCCCCCTTCGACGCGGTATCGCCATTTACCACGCATCGCAAAGTACGACCTAGCTTTACGCTCAATACTTATTCCTTACACACGTCCTCATCTACTTGACATTAAAAAATCACTTCTACCTTGAGCCTCTTTGCTTTCTTCAAACATACCATTTGCACTGAAGCATACCTTGGTCCAGCTTACACACAAGCCTCTCGCAATACCACACTTGTGTAACACGCCTCGCTCGTTGGCACCCACATCCCAAAAGTAAGTCAGCCCCTTACGCAACCTTCTTCCCCATACCCGAGCGCATCAAGTCCGGGGTTCCGCCAATTCTGGTAGCCCTGTATGCCAACGCACGACCGCACCTAAGCCCTGTTCCAACAACCCCAGCGCATTCTTCCTTGATATTAAATCTGACTCACCCCTTCCCTAGACACACACTTCAGCCTTGTTACCGAGTCAGCCCGAGTTTTAGTTGTTGTCACAGTCCGAGACAGCACATCACATATCTTACGCACCTTTCCCCGAGAATCAGAATTACCCTGCATCGCACCAGCGCATCAATAACTCCGGCCCGTACAATTTCTTCGGCTTCCGTTGCAACTATCTAGTCAACTATCCCGGATACTCTCCGCATTTTCAGATAGTCTCCTCATACCTACGAGACTCATCGTCAACTACGTATTAAGTACACACTGTCAAGTACAATCACCACACACAAAAACCATCAACATGCCCGCCTCCGCAGCCTCCGCTTTCAACCCTCGTCAGCGTCTCTCCATCTTCACCAACTCAACACTTGGCCACGATGTCAGCGCGGCATTCAAAGCATCCTCAGGCTTGACCTCGCGCTCCTCAGACGCCAACGAAACCCCAGCTCCACCACCATCGCCAGTCGACTTCTGCTTTCCCATCACACCAGCCGACAGCCGGAGGGGTAGCTCTGGCTCGAACTAGAGACGCCTTCTCTTCTCGTTACTTTGTTTGCACTTAGCGGGTTTGGTTACTTGATGTGGCGTTGGAGATTTTCAGGGTTGTACATTGTCATGGCTTCTTGCTTTGCGCGTTGACCGCTGCGTGCCTCCATTCTTCACTTCTTGACATCATTGTCTTATTTATTTTTTTGGCTTCGTATTCCCCGTCAACTTTAAGTTGACTTGACTGTATTACATTTTTTGGATTTAGATTTGGAATTTTCTTGGGCAGACGGCTTTATGGCCGCGAGGCTTGCAATGTCCTGGTATTCGGTAATGAGATATGCATCAACCACTCATCTTCATACTTACACATCTGCTCATTCTGCAAGTGGTGAAACTGCCTATGACGGCGATAAAACAACTCCACGTGGTCTACACACCGCGACTTTGGTCAAGCGTACTAACTCCACTCACCACACTGAGTACCTCCACGCTATCATGTACTTGCATCCCACTCCCACGTCATCAGCCAACATAGTCCGGTCAGCGAACATGACTCAAAAGTTGGCCTAGTCTGCCGTCATCCAAACACAAAGCCAATGTCATACGGCCGCACAACCATCCTCGGACCAAATGTTCCTTCGGATACCGAGCGGAAAAATCCGCCGGTGGAAACGTTCCGAGAAAGGTGAGGCGACATGAGGTGAGACGCAGTGTGCAAATGCTGGATCCACGGTGCAGTAAGATGATTATTCCTTTACGTCTCGATTGTCCTTGTATCCGATGAAAGAAAGAATGCAACGTAATGAGACTTGAGTGATGATGAGTAAACGTCAGACCAACATGGAGATAGTTGCGATAGGAGACCTTCGGCACAATTCTCGGCGGCATGATCTGCTGCCATCAATATGTACGAAGTGGATAGCGATGTGTCTTGTCTTCAAGATCTAGTAAAGGGTACTGGATAATGTATAAATACACATATAATCACAGATGATCTCCTAT